GTAATGGAGGTTTAAAAAACGTCGCCCCAGGGGCGAACAGACTATTTTGAGAGTCGCAGTCAAAGTGTTAATATTATCTAATCGTGAGAAAACCACACCCTTATAGCTTGGGCTACGACACACACACCTCGAATTTACATCCTGACGGTTACCTACTGTACTTCTATTTGATCTCACTCAGCTTTTTATGCACAGTCTTGCCAGGAACAATTAACAGCCATGTAGGTATGGGATTTTGTTTCCACGAGGGCATGACTCACGTAAAATTTACCGTTAACCCCGGTGCGCCTATTTATCCACAATCGCCACTTGCACTTTATTATGTCTTTAGAACTATTATTTCGTAACAAATCCAAAGGGCCATGTCGTCAAAGCGGCTCAAAGTTTGAAGTGCCTGAGATTTATTTCCGAATCAGCAGGGAAAGTGGGGTTTTCCTTTGATTCTAAGCTTTTCCCGAATAGAAGTTTCGATTGTTCTCACAGTTGAGTGGGTATCATCTGGACGACCGTCCGAACAGTGATGTTTCATCGTCGCGAATACTGAAAATCTTCGTCGAAAGGTTTTGGCAACTGTAACATATATTTCATCTCCCACAGCTTTTCTGCCGTCAGTCGGAGGCTCATGCACGAAAAACCCACTACTTTGACTTCTATTCGGCAGTAGGGAGCGCTGCAAGTCCGGGCATTTCTTGCGCCATATCAAAAAGTAACCTCGGGTTTTCTATGCGTGCCAAATGTTTCCGACTATTAGGGCGGAAAGGTTAGTCAGCCTAAACGAAAAACTGAAATAAAGACTGGCGCGTCAAACCTTATTGATCGTGGCGGGAGTCTTCGCTCCAGCTGCCGGACTCAGGAATATTTGAAATGACTAGATTGAGCGGTAAACTGCACTGAACAAATCAGGAATGGACAGAAGCGGGGTTTTCACGCTGGCAAACGGACTGCCACTTTAGACTTGTGTCGACCCTGCATCCCTCCATCATGCGGTCTGTTTATCACTTACCCACCTAATGCATTCCTACGCAACATTGTTGGTGCACACATCAACTTGAACGACACTGTAACATTTTTTTTATTCTGGGGTAATCAGTACGTTGTAGACGAACGGTCAAATCCTGTGCTATTAATTGGCTGTAAGGCTGGTAGCTCATCTTTATTCCAGAAGCTCGAAAACTTGCCAACATTAATACTTCCTTTTAATTTCAGGTGACCTTCTACCATTGCGGTTCACGCCCTGTTATGCTGTCTTCGTGATTTACCTCTTCGCCCCTCTTGTATATAAAATTTAAATAAATTTTTCCCACAACCTACTGCTTTCGGAAAATTTATTTCATATTCCCATAACGTTATGATCACATTGTATTTAAAAGAAAGAAAAGAGTACTATCTATTTCAAGTTTAACGCTGTTGGAATATCAAACAGCAAAGGGAAATTAGCGCGTTCTTCAATAAGGTCTGCGAGATGGAGCAGCCGCGGCTCTGACCATGGCGGCCCAATCACTTGCAGCCCTATGGGGAGGCCGATTGTTTCTGGCTGGTTTGACAACTTGATGGGAATTGTAACTGCAGGCAGGCCGGCGAGGTTGACGCCCACGGTGCAGACGTCTTCACGGCTGCATCGACTACGACTATCCAGTCGGCGGAAATCCTCCAGAAGGGGAGCGGAGTGCAGACTGACGGGTGTCAATAAGAAGTCCACTTCAGTGAAGACCTAATGCATTAAAAATGGGTAACCTTGCGAACTTGGGAAATAAAAGAGTCATGTTCAACAGGATCACAGCTAATAACGACCTCAGTGTGAGAGGGTTACATAGGAAAGTGAAGTGACGACAGAGGAAACATAGCTTAGTCACTCTTATTCAGGCGGCTGACTGAAAGCAAGCGCGGTGACTTGCGCTGCATCTACCATACCCTCTCTCCTCTCTAACTCCCGTGTCCGATATCAACTTAGAGTGAAGGAGACCCAGGGGCAGAATCGGACGCAGGTTTGGACGAGCGATTGTATGTTTTTAATAAGTAAGTTGGGCTAGATCAGATACTTACGGGGTACGCAAGCCATTTGGACCTATAGAGTGTAGTGCCGTAGGTGGGTGTTTTTCTGAATCATTGCGTTTGTCTATAAACGCAGCAAACGTTTTCGATGTGTTTCTGGCCAAACGAGGAATTTTTGAGTAATGGTCCTTGGTTTGGAGAAATGAATAGTTTGAAATATCCTAAGGTCAAATTACGCCAAACGAACTAATAAAACACAGGATCGTCACCCGAAGGGAGATGGCTCATCGCGATATCTAAATCGCCAACAAAATTGATGTATTGGGTATCGGTCCGATCAGTCCCCTACAGTTTTGAAATCCGGGGCATGTGTGTGTAGAAGACGGGCGGAAACTGAGATTATCAGAACACTGCCGACGGATAAAGTACACCGACTTCATCTCGAATGAAGCCGTCTACACTGGCTGCGGAAAAACAGCGAGGATGTCCCAGGCTACTCAAGAAGGGCGAGTGAAATGTTCTGAGAACATTCTTTGTCGTTCGTCCAGTCCGGCG